CCCTCTACCTGTTACATCAGGCGTGCACGTGTGGGGGGGACTCTACACCACTTTTGCTGTGTTTATCTTTTGATTAGAAGTTACAGGCCCCACTCGCACGCTACAGGAGACTATTATCAGGTGTGGCACCAGGGCTGGGGCTGCAGCAAACCATTTTAGCACTCTACCCCCAGGGAGGGGCCATTTCAAGACTGAACAAAACAGTTTATAAAGAGCTGTTCTGAATCCCCTTTAATTATTTCGCTCACTTCCTTATGCGAGCCACATTGCTGTTTTCCCCCTCTGAATATTTTATCACTGCTTGTGACATTTAAAATTTAGAAAAAGCTGTCACTGCTGCATTCCCAGTATTGAGCTGGTGAGGCTCAGGTCTCACCTTGTCTAGTGATCATCCTTGTCCAGACACTAACTCTAGGGGATGCCTTGGCTGAATGAGTCACACCAGAGGGCTTTCTGGGCCCTTCAGTGAGTTTGGAGAAAAAAACAATACTGTCCTGGCATAGTAGCCAACACCTGTTCCCAGCATTTGGAAGGCTGAGACAGGAGGATTGACATGAACTGTAGGCCTGCCTAGGATACATGGTTAATATAGGTCATCCTGAAGTACAGCATGAAACTCTATCTCAAAATAACAGAATAATTTAGAAAAACCATCTCCAAGAGAGATAGGAGTGTGTGCACGGCTGGCCTACTGTGTGCTTCAGTGTAGGAATCCATATGCATGAATTAAACTAGAGAAAACAACGTGAGAGGCTGCAGTGAGGTTGCTGGCCTGGTGACTCAATTCCCTCCTTCTGCTACGTGACTCCTGGGCACTGAACTGGGTTACCAGGCTGGGTAGCAAGCCCCCTTATCCACTAGGCCATCTTGCTAGCCCAACCTATTTGGGTTTGAAGCCCAGCCACTTCCATTCCTTCTCAAGTATCTTTACTAACATTTTTTTCTTTCTTTCTTGAAACAAGGTCTCAAAAAGAAAAGAGATAGGACATTACTCTGTAGCTTTAGCTGGCCTGGAATGCAACATCCTTTGGCCTGTCTCCCAAGTGCTGGTATTAGTTACACACCATACGTCTTAATACGCGGCTCATTTCTGTCGAAAGGAATAGACAGGAATAATACCAGTGTCTGCCTATAAGAGTATTGTGATAAAGGAGAACAATATGCAAAACTATGCTCAGTGCCTAGGATATAGAAAATGCTTCATACATGTTAGATGCCTTTTTGCTTTTTTTGGTCCTCGTTCGAGGCCTCAAACCCAGGGCCTCACACATGCCAAGAATTCGCTCTACACCATCATTCGCTCTGTGCCATCAATCCCTATTAATTATGTGGTTTTGGATTCATGCCATTGAGCTGCCAGATGGCATCAAATTGGAAATGAATTTCTGAAAGACTTGCCTGTAACTCCTCCTATCACTGCCAAGGACAGTCTCACCATGGTTGTGACAGAGCAGAGAAAAAAGTTTACAACTTTGGTTACATTATTTGAGAAGCAAACATAAGGAAGACATCAGTATCCGGCCAGGTTGTTTAAAGACTCTGGGATGTTTCCTGTATTGGGGATGGAACCCGGGGCTTTGGTAAGCAAGCATGCGACCTTGAAACTACACCCTGGAACCCAATAAGGCTATTGAAACACAGCTTAGATTTTTCTAATTTCTTTATTTGTATTTTACGTACATTGGTGTTTTGCCTGTATGTATGTCTGTGTGAGGGTGTCGGATCCCCTGGAACTGGAGTTACAGTTGTAAGCTGCCATGTGGGGGCTGGGAATTGAACCTGGGTCCTCTCGAAAAGCAGCCAGTGCTCTTAACCGCTGAGCCATCTCTTCAACCCCCCAAAAGGCTATTGAAATTAAATTTAAGATGGTAATATATCATCTTATAAGGATTATAAAAAGTTAAGGATTTATATTATCTGAAATTCTGGAAAAGTATAAGCTAAAAAATTTGCATATAACCAACAAGTTTTCCTCAAAACACCTGGTGCTCTTGCATGTAATTTTGACTAAGAGCAAATGTAACTTAATTCTGACTTCTCTTTTATGGAACGCTCATGAATCTGCATGTCATCCTTGCACGGGGCCATACTAATCTCTGCATTGCTCCAATTGTAGTGTATGTGCTGCCGAAGTGAGCACATAAATTCTGTCTTTTTAACAACAAAGATTGCTTGTCAAGAAAGGTTTTGTGGAAATGCTCAGTCCCCCAGGAGACCCACCTGCTGTAGCAGCTGGATCACAGGCAAAGCAGCAGATGTAGCAGAACTGAGTGTGGCATGCTGAGTGGCAATATCGTAGGGCTGGAGGTGGCTCCGCAGTTAAGAGCACTGACTGCTCTTCCAGAGGACCCAGATTTAACTCCCAGCTTTGGGCACTGCAAGGGCCTTATGCAGGCTGGCCTCAAGTTCTCCATGTAACTTAGTATTAAATTCTAAATTCTCCTGCCTTCAGCTCCCGAGTCCTAGGTTTATAGTTGGTTTTATGTAGCCCAGGCTGACCTCACACTGGCTAAATAAGTGAGGCCTGCTTTAAACTCGTGTGTAAGGTGCTAGCAGGAGCGTGTCACCATGCCCAGCTCTTTTTATTATTTTTGTGGGGAAGTCCTGTGCCTGTGGAGGCTGGAGGCATTGTATCCCCTGGAGTTGGAGAGTCAGGGAGCGGTGAGCTGACAGGCATGGGTGCTGGGTACTGAATTTAGATCTTCTGGAAGATCAGTACCGGCCTTAACCACAGAGTCATCTTCCCAGTTCCCCTGACAGGTTCTAGACTTCAAGGTTTTAGCAATTTAACCCTTAACTGGGCTTGATCTTTAATCACACCTTTAATCTCCGCACTTGGGAGATAGAGGGAGGTGGATTTTTATAAGTTTGAGGCTAGCCTAGTCTACATATGGAACTCTGGCACAGTCAGAGAGAGACATTGTCTCGGGGAGAAAAAAAAAAAAAAAAAGAAAGACATGAAGGAAAAGGCAGGCAGGCAGGCAGGCAGGCAGGTAGACAAGCAGACTTAACCCTGAAGCTGAGCCAGGCAGTGTTACTCTGGTTCTGTTCCTTGACAAGGATAAACATTTAAGTTTCCGTTACTGTTTGTGGATTTACCTGTGTTGAACATAACTGTTAAAGCATCTAACAGGAGATGGCCACACCATCACTAGATTAGCCAGGTCTGGCATTGAAATATTGCTTTTGACTTCCTATTTGGCAAGAAAAGAAAATGCCAAATTTGGTTCTTCATGCCAGACTCACTCTTGAGCATTAGGCTTGCTCACCGAGTCTGTTTCCGTTGTTCTTGCAAAGTCACAGCGGAATGTTCAAGATCTCTGGGCCTGCTGGATACCTGTGCTTCAGGAGGAACTGTAAAGGCTTTAGGTTTATAGCTACAGCATTCCTAAGACCAAACACCCGACACCTACGGAGCTGGCGAGTGCAGCTGCCCCTGCCTTTGAATCTCTTAGATTCAAAGGCACCTTCACATCCTGTCTGCCTGATGGGCACGTGGGAAGATTTTTGGAGTCTCATGAGGAACCAGGATGATTGCAAACTCCCCATATAGCTGAGGATGGCCTTGAAATTCTACTAGTCCTCTTGCCCTTTCCTCCAGAAAGCAGGTATGAACCACAATGCCTGGTTTCTACAGTGCTGGGGACTGAACCCAGGCCTGTGCACCAGGCAAGCACTCTACCAAGGCCACTTCCTTCGGATTTGCATGACCTAACCTAATCCCAAAGGCCACAACCACACCATCTATCCCCAGCACTCACCGGTGAAGCTGCTTTAGTCTCAAAGATGGAAGGGGCAAAGAGCCAAAGTGTCTTGGAAGAATATCAATGCTTGACTGTGACTGAGGAGATAGATCCTGGACAGGGGTGGTTGGGGTTACCCATTGAGCAGAGTTCCTGGGGTTCAGGTCAACTTCTCACTGTGACAACCAAGTCAGGCACATGATCCCATCAGCTTACCTCAGACATCTGAATGTAGGACCTCATGTGTTCTGACCAGTCAGGGAGAGGGGATCATGGCTCCCGGGGGTCTGAGTGCAGGACACCACCTCTACTTGTACCTGTTTTTTTGCTGGAATAAGAGGCCTCCATAGTCCCCAAGGTTCCTTGGAGATTCCAAAACCCAAGAATTGTGGGAAGTAACTAGGGTTCTTTTTCTTTGGATGTCGATGGCATAAGTTTATGATAATGACAGTGAAAGGGGCGACAGGAGTTGGGGAGACTGCTCACTCATAAAGTGCAGGTGACATAGTCACGAACATCTGGGTTTCATCCCCGGAGACTGCTCACTCATGAAGTGCAGGTGACATCGTCACAAACATCTGGCTTTGATCCCCAGTACCACATAAAGCCAAATGTAATGTCATGTGCATCTCCTCCCAGTGCCAGGGAAGCAAACACACATGGACTCTCTGGACTAGCTGGTCAGGCAGTGAGCCCCAGGTTCCAGTGAAGGCCCCGCCTCAAAAAAACAAAACAAAACTAAAAAAACAGACCAAGGTGAGAGACTCTTGTCGAGTGACACCTACGGATGACTTTTGGCCTCCACTTACACACACACACACACACACACAACTGGCTGGAAGAAACGTGTTGCTTGAGGGTCTACACCTGAACGGGGACTGGTACTATCAGTGTTTACTACTCCTGGTACTCAGAGCTTTGTTAATTAAGTCAACCTCTTTTGAGCAACCAGGTCTTCCCAGGCAGTAGAACCTGAGGGGTAGTCCAGAGGCATTGCATCAGGACAGGGGCATGTCACAGAAACCACTCCCGGAGAGTTACCCAGAAAACATGGTATCCTTTTTGCTTTCTGGATCTTGCGCCAGACCCTAGTCAGCAAAGCACAGGACTGGGCAAAGCAGGTAACTAACTTATGGCTCAGTCAGGTGAAAGCTGCTTCTGGCTAGTCAGCTAAAGACCCAAATAAACTTATTCCCTGAAAAAGTCAGACAACAAATGCCTTTGGCTTTACAGGCAGTTTAGGCTCTATGGTGACTGTTTACTCCTGTCCCCAGGGCAGGCACCACACGACAGTCAGTGAACAGGCCAGACCGGGTTCCAGTAAAACTTTACTTAAAAAAGTGGCAACCATTTGGTTCACAATCCTCCATGAGACGCAGAAGATAGTTTGGCTGCTAGAGGGGTTGTAGTCCAGCTTGATCCTTCGTGTGACAGGAACTTCCCAGAGTCTGATGCTGTCCGGAGTTTGTATGTAATGTCAGAACAGCTTCTGGTCAGGCAGTGAGCGCAGAACCTGGGGTGAATGGAGGCTGCTCTAGGAAAGGATCAGCCATCTGCCATAGGACGCACACAGGGCTCCTTGGCAAGCACTGTCCTTACTCTGGGCCCCTAGGAGCCTCTGTGCTCAGTTCTTGACCACCTGCCCTTCTCTGGTGATGGCCCAGTTATAGTTCTTGGGAGAGTCCAGCGCTTCTTCTATCCGTGCCTCCAGGTTTTCCCGGGTGATGAAGTTTTTGGCCTCTTCCTACGGGAAGCGAAAGGTTAGCGACATGGGAACTCCACCAGAGCCAGCGCTCTGCAGAGTTTACTGTCTCTAGCCCTTAAAGAAGGGTGTCTCAGAGTGCCGGGTCCTTCTGAGCGTCCCATCATTCTCTCAGCAGAATAGTACTAGGTGACTTCAACCACCTATGCCTATTTCTTAGCCAATCACCCACCAGATCTCTCAGCCAGAATCCAAGAACCAACTGTGACAACCTGCTGAGAGGGGGTGGACTCTCAAGCTCGTCACTCCCTCTTACACTGAAGAAAGCTTCACTGTCTCAGTTATGGGTGTCCCTGATGCGGCTATCCCCTGCGAGGGCAAACACTCCCTCCTTGTGCAGAGCGAGAAGACTCCCGGCGCTGCGCTCCCCGGAGTCCCCAATGCCCACGCTCCCCACGACCCTGGCCCACCTGCAGCTGGAGCACTTCTTGTTCTTTCAGTTGCACCCAAGCCTGTTTTTCCCGGGCCCGCTGGGCCTGGTCCTCGGCCTGTCGCAGCTCCTGGTCCCGTGCTTCCAGCTGCAACCTAGCTATCCTGAAAGGGGCGAGAGGCCGAGGGTGAGGGGGCCCGCGGCTAAGCCTGGCCCCGAGCCAGCCCACCCAGCCCCTCACCCTCACACCTTAGCTGCTGCAGCCGCCGGTTCTCCTCCTGGTTCCAAGCCATGAGCGCCCGGTGCTCCGCGGCGGCCTCCTGCACCTTGCGCTCAGCCAGGACCCCGGACCGGGCCTCGTACGCTTTCCTGCGCACTTCCGACATGAACTCTTGCCTGGGTGGGGACGGGCTTCAAGTCGGCACCCATCCTCCCTCCCCAACACTCCCGAGGGATGCCGATGGCCGCCTGCCCTTTCCACACACCTGAGCGCGCTCACGGTCTGCCGGTACTGCCGATAGCGCTCGGTCAACACGAAGAATTCCGCGGGGTCCACTGCGGGCGGCATCTTCACGCGCCCGACCTTGGACTTGGCAGGCGGGTCGTAGCGGGTTTTGCGGCCGCGCGCGGGTAGGACCAGCACGGTCGAGGGCTGGCACCCGGGCCGCGGGGCCAGGCGCTTCAGGGCGCGCAACATGACAGCTGCGGCCGCCGCACGCCCGGTCCGGAAGTGGCCGCGGAGCACCATGGGAGTCGCGGTCTCGCGGCCCCACCCCCTCGAGGCGGAGCTTTTGTTGTGTGGCCTATGGCCTCCTCGGAGTCTCCTGACGGAGAAACTTGACAGACACCGCTAGACTGCAGCGTTGCCCGCGTGCGACCCGCATTCCACTGCACTCCCCGTCTACCGGTTCCCAAGCTTGGCCGCCGCCCCCAAGCGTTTGACTCTGCGACTGGCGGGCGGGCGTACCTTTTCAGGCCGTACGCACGAAATTCTGAGCTTATAGCCACTTACACGACCTTTTAGTAAGCGTTTCCCATTTGTAAACTTCAGATTTACAAACTACAAACCATTCCCTAGCACTACACTGCCCTGTTGTGGTCTTGGGCAGCTCTGCAGTTGCCACAGTTCTCTGACCTTATGGTGTTGTGAGGTGACCCTTGTCCTTCACAACCTGACTCAGGGCCTGCCCACCTTGAGAAATACTGGCTTGACTGTCAAGGAACCCGAGGAACTCGGCTGCGACTCTTATTTATGAAGCTTTTTAGTACTCTTTCCTCTTCAACTGAATAAACAGTTGATCAGTATTGCAGGAAACACCCCCCCACGCCCCCCTGTAAGCAGGGGCACAAACCACACCCACACACCTGTTTTCATAGAGAGATCCTTTATTAGGCCGGGAAGAAAAGTGAAAGTGCCCGAGCCAGAAAACACCAACAAATGACCTTGCGGGTGTAATTTTTAAGAGCAGAGAAAGGGGTGCGTGTGTCTGTGTTAGAATTGGTGGTGTATTTTGATTGGGAATGTTAATTATGTGAACCAAAGGCTTTTGATTGCTCGACTCTGGTACTCAGCCTTGGGAATGAATCTGGCATAAGAAAGTGTCCAAGTAAGGGGATAGACCTTGATGGCCTAGCTTTAGGGATGTAATCTAATGGTTTTAGCTAGGTGGAGGGAATGAGGGAGGGGGAAGGACAAGGCCAGCCAAAACCACATGCTCCAGTGGGCTAGAGTCCCTTCAAGTACTGTCAACACCAAATTCTGCAGAGAATAGCAGGCCATGGTCCTGTCTGTCCACAGCACTTGGGAGGAGATGAGTGGCCTGGGCTGGCTTCAGTAGCTGACATTTTCTCAGGACAAAGGCTACCTACAACCCACTCTCAACTTCCAGGCCCAGTTCTGGTGGAGTCCCAGATAGCACTCTCTTCCTCTCAGGTTTGGGGGATCTATTGCCCATTTGATGCCAGAGCGTATTCTGGAGTCCTGGGGTGAGCTGGAATCTTGCTTTCCTTAAGGGTGCTACCGCCACTCTAGCCTGGAGCTGGCCACTGCAGGGCTGCTCTTAAGGCCAGGAGTCCGGCATTCCCCACAGAGCGCATCCCTCCCTGTTCTTAAGAGAAGTCTCACTACACACTCTGGTGCCTGGAGCTTACAATGTAGATTAGGCTCACAGAGGTCCACCTGTCACTGCCTCCTAAGTGTGGGACCAAAGGTGTGTGTGTACCACATCTTTTTCAGGGTCACCCTAGCCAACTGGCACCTCAGACAATTTCAGAGCCTGGGCCAAGAAAGTATTCCTGGGTGTAAGACATTTTCTAGAGACCCCCTTATTCTTGTTAGCTCTGAAGTCCTCAGCTGGCCACGCCCACCCTACTTCTCTTGGGGGGGTTTCCTAAGTTTAAGTGCCGATAACAGAGACTTTAGGCCTAAAATGGATGAGCAGTGTGCAGACATTTGGATTGGCTCCCTGCTCCCTGTCCCAGTGGCCTGTGGTGATGTGGACTGGTGTGCAGTGGTGACAGAAGTGTTTCCATCTGCTGACCCTCCCATGCGAAGGCAGCAAGGATGGAATAGATAGAATTGTTGAGGAAAGAAGTTGGAAAAGGAGGCTTTTCTGGGTAGTTCATGGGAGTGGGACATCATATATGTACTTGGGATGAGCGGAATAAAGGAAGCCTCATATACTAAGGGGTAAATTATGGGTGAGGTGTCGCTGGGTTGCTGCAGGACCCTATTCAGACAATTCTAGGATTTAATGACCAGAAGCACCATTTCCTCTGGTGTCAAATCCAGTGACATCTTAAAAACAAACAAATAAAAACCTAAACAGGGTCCTACTTGATGGTCTTATATTTGCAACTTAGCCCAAGCTGGTCTTGAACTTGTAGTAATACTCCTGTATCCGTCTCCTGAGTGCTAGGTTTGTGTGCCACCAAGCGATGGTGCAGTGACATCTTGAAACAGGAGGTGCAGGCTGCTACTCAAACCCCTCTCACAACATCCACTTCCGTGAACAAATATGAAGCTGCTGCTGGATTTTAAGGTCATCAGACAAATGCTTCCCCGCCTTAGATCTTCCTAGGTGTGATGGTCTGAAAGGCCCCCAAAGGGACAGACACTATTAGAAGGTGTGCCTTTGTTGGAGAAAATGTGCCATTGTGGAGGCATGCTTTGAGGTCTCATAAATGTTCAAGTCACATCCAGTGTCTCAGTCTACTTCCTGTTGCCTATGCGAGATATAGACTCTAGGCTCCCTCTCCAGCACCATGTCTGCCTGCACACCACCATGTCTGCCATGATGATAATGGACTGAACCTCTGAACTGTAAGCCAGCCACCACAATTAAATGCTATCCTTTATGAGAGTTGCCACAGTCATGACGTCTTGTCACAGCAACAGAGAGAAAGGATCTGAGGATGAAACAGAAATCACAGTGGCACTGGAGAGATGGCCCTGCAGTGAGGTTAAATATTCCCAACATCAACATCAGACAGCTCAAATCCCTGTAACTTCATTTCCCAGGGACACAATACTCTCTTCTGGCTTCTGAGGGAAACTCACATATATGCGTGCATACAACACATTAAAAAAAATTAAAATGGTAAACCTGCGAGATGAGTAAAGGCACTTGCTGTTAAGTTTGAGGACATGAGATCAATCCCTGGAAGCCACACGGTGGAAGGAAGGACCAGCTCCTGCAAATTATTCTCTGATCTCCATACATGTATTCTATGGCATACACACACACACACACACACACACACACACACACACACACACACTAAAAAATATTAAAAAACTCAAAAGCGGGGGACTGGAGAGATGGCTCAGTGCATTGCCTGCTCTTCCAAAGGTCCTGAGTTCAATTCCCAGCAACCACATGGTGGCTAACAACCATCTGTAATGAGGTCTGGTGCCCTCTTCTGGCCTGCTGATAGAATATTGTATACATAATAAACAAATAAGTATAAAAAAACATTTTAAAAAAATTTAAAAAAAAAATTAAAAAAAAACCCTCAAAAGCGGGGGCCGGAGAGATGGCTCAGTGCATTGCCTGCACTTCCAAAGGTCCTGAGTTCAATTCCTGCAACCACATGGTGGCTCTCAACCATCTGTAATGAGGTCTGGTGCCTTCTTCTGGCTTGCAGACATATACACAGAATATTGTATACATAATAAATAAATATATATATATATTAAAAAAAAACACCTCAAAATGGCTACAAGGTAGTCAAAAGGAGTGCAGAGACCTTTCCCCGAACTTTTCAACTCTACTAACAGAGATAAGCAATCATATAGACATGTTGGGAACAAATCCACAAGGAACTTTTTTTTGGGAATCTTTTTCTTTTCTTAATAGCGGCTGGTCTTGAACTGAGCCTCTTTGTTCCATCTCTTGCATGTGGAGAAGACCATGGTGGTATTACCACCATGCAGTGCAGGGAGTTAAATGCAGGACTTTGCACACACTAAGCAGGCATCCTGTCAACCGAGCGGCATCTCCAACCCAACACTTTGGATCCTAACAACACCTCCTAAGGTTTGAGAAACACCAAGTGCCAGTTTCGTCCCTTGACCTGGACACTGCAGTGAATTTTCAGAACTTATAATCACCCTGCTTTGTGCAGACCGTGCCCCAATCCTATTTACATTTTTTAAAAATATGCTCACTTTCCTCCTCAATGTCCCCTGCCTTCAATGGCAGGGGACCTGGGGAGCAGTGGAGTCAATGAAGTAGGGTCTAAGTGGTAGGACTCTGAGCAGTGCTGGAGGCTGGCTGCACCCTTCCTTTCGAGGAAATGCTCACTTCCATTCCGACCCCTCCCCTGACCCAGCTGTAGCTGATCTGCCAGAGTGTCATGGATGAATTGGTCGCTCTTGTTCTTTCCACACGATTGTGCTATGTGAGACACATTTTCCTTTGGACATACAAGAGTCCCTTGTGGGGTTTAAGCCCTGGTTAAAAAAGAAAAGTGAAGGAAAGGCTGAGGGCTACTTCTACAGAAGGGGAGCCAAAAGTTGAGGTCATTGCTACTGAAAGACATCTGTTACTAAGCAGGTGTTTAACATTTGCTCAGCTGCACTATCCAGAATACTCCAGTATGCCCTGCTCAAGACTAGCCTTGGCAAGACAAGAGCAGGCTGCCCTGTGGGTAGATGGAACAGCTGCTACTGACATGACCTTTAGTGCTGCAGTCACTGCGGGCTTGCTGACCCAATAGCCATTCTCCTCCACTGTTAGACTTGGTCACACCAAGGCTCTAAGGTACTGGGGGTCCTTTAGAGCTCCAGTCCTAGAGGGACAGAATCACTCAAGGACTTACACTCACACTGTAGAGCTGCTCTGCGGTCCCATCTTAGCTCTCCAAGTATTCTAGGATTCCTCTCATACATCTTGCTCTTCCTCTTGAAATTTTTTTTTTTTGTTGTTTTGATTTTTTGAGACAGGGTTCTTCTCTGCAACAGCCCCAGCCCTGGCAGTCCTGGAACTTGCACTGTAGACGAGGTTGGCCTCGAACTCAGAAATCTATCTGCCTCTGCCTACCAAGTGCTGGGATTAGAGGTGTGCAGTGCATCACCATGCCCAACTAAATTTTTTTTTTTAAAATTTACTATTTTTTTTTCCTAGACAAAGTCTCACTCTGTAGACCAGGCTGCCCTTGAGCCCACAGATACCCACCTGCCTCTGATTCCAAGTGCTGGGTTTAAAGGCACTTTGCCACTATGACCAGTCTA